CCCACCCCCCCCACCCAAGGCAGCGGCGGCTGCTCGGACCTCGGTTTCTGGGGGTGCAGGGCATCGGCGGGGGAGCTGTCGGCATCCCTCGCCCTTCTCGAGGCGGCGGCGGCGGGAGTCTTGGCCACCGCCCCCTGCGCACCCTCGCTGCCCCAGGATTGCGAATTCGTGCCCCTGACCTGTTGGGCGGGGCTCTGCGCTCCTGCCCTCGGCCCTCGGATGGGGCTCCTGGCTGGGACTCGGGGCTCCTGGAGTTAATGTCCAACCGGGGGTCTGCGGAGACCGGAGCCGAGGTAAGTGGGAGAGCGGGCCGGGGTGGAAGGGGCGGATGGCGCCTGAGTCGCCGGCGGCCGCGGCGGCCTGCCGGGCGCTGGAGCCAGAGGGGGCGCGGCTGGACCCCAGAGCAGGCGGTGAGATTGGAAAGAGGAAAGACTAGATGGAACCGAGGCACCGGGAGGGTAGAGGAGAGAGAGAAGTTGGACGCGAGAGGGGCTGGCCTTGCAGAGACGCCGGTTGCCTTTCCACGTGGGCAAAGATCCCTGGTGCCCCGATGCCTGTGGACCCCGGAATGTCCGAGAGGGTCAGTTTCCCTCCCCGGCTCGGCGGGGCGCTCTTGTGTCAAGTCCCGGGACGGGGCGGGTTTGGGGTCATCTTTGAACCCACCGCGACCAGAAAGTGCCCTCTCTGGACGTACAGCTGCAGAGACACCATTGCCGGGCGTGTAACTTACTATTGAGATTGTCTTGGTGTGTTCCGAGGGAAGGCGCACACCATGGGAGGGACTGATGCAAAGGTGCTGGGAACTTAAAATAGTGGGCTCACCTCCTCCGGGCACTGTCTTGCAAAGCTACATTCCTCACCCTTTTCGGAACCCGGTTGCTTGCACTTTCCTAATGCCCGCAACCCCAACTAACCATGCCCGTCGAGGTTAGGAGAGGGGCTGCCTGGACAGTCCAGGACTTGGGTCTCTGCCTCGAGCAGGTTCTTGAAACTCTTCAATGTCTCCGCTAGGCCATCGAAGTGATTATGTTAATGACCTCTTCTCTCCTGCAACTCTGTGCCACCTCACCGATAACACCCTCCACCACTGCCTTGCACCACCTCTGGCCTGACTGCGCCGTGGTTTGGTTTACCAGCCCCACCCGGTGAAAACGAATCCTCATTGGGGAGGGGAATGGACTTTCACCGGAACCCCCTGCCTCCTGGCGCCTCCCTAGTTTTGGCTGTGGCAAACCCGCCGGCAGAGCCGACGTGCGCGCCCCGGGCGGAGGTGGGGGCTGCCCAACCCCGTGCTCCCAACATTTTTGCTCATTGGCGGGGACGAACCACTCTTCCGGCCCCTGCCGCCGGTGTGCTAGAGCGTACTCGACTCTTCCACGGTATTTTGAATATACACTTAAGTATTCCGAGGAAGAAATGCAACTTCCAACTTCACGCACGCACCTCTTCCTGCAAAGCCCTCGAAGTGGGAGCCGCTGGGCTTCTGCCCGGCCGGGACCAACTCTCACCCTCACTGTTTAGCCACACATTCGCTTTGGCGGGGTAGGGGGACAGTGTCGCCTTTTCAACAAGTGTCAGGTGTCCAGGGAGCCCGCAGCGTCCCCAGCCCACTCTCGCAGGGGGTTCGGGTGCCCCACAGACCTGGAACCTGGTCTCGGGCCCCTGACCAGAGAGACCTCTCCCCAGAACTGCATGCAGAAAACGTCCCTCATTCTTTTTCTTTCCCCTGGTCTTGGGCCCAACAGTTAGCCTCCGCCAGGCTACGACACGAGGCACACTTAAGAAAAGCAATACATCTTTCAGCAACTTCTGTCCCTATCCCAAAAGAAAACCCCCGAGTTACAGCACGCTCCCCACCACCCCGCCTCCCTTTTCTCTCCGAGACCTGGATCTTGAAGGCAAAGCCCAAACAAACCTCCCAGCCTGCCAGACAGAGGAAGGTGCGGGGGCACTGGCGGCGGGGGCGCTCACCCCGGGGGAAGCTGTCATGGTGACGCGGGGAATTGGGGGGGGGAATCTAAAAGCAGGTTACCCAGAAACCAGATCAGGTGAAGTGGGAAGGGGAAAAGTGGGGAGAGAGGATGGAGGGTAGGAACCTGAAAAGCAGGCATGCTGGCGAGCACATCCGGAAGTTTCGGGGGGTATTTTGGATTTGGGGGGATTGTGGGGGGATCGGGGGTGCTTGTTCATGGATTTGATACTTAAAATGACGCAGCCTCTCGTTCGCGTGGGCGCTACGGAACTCGGACGGTTTCTGGTGCCCCCTGGTGCTGGGAACCCAGAAGCGCCCCACCGCGAGCGGCGGCTTCTGTGGGCACTGGGGCCCTCCAGGGCGCCCTTTCCCGGGCGGGCCTGGGGACCGCCGGGTGCGGGCGCCCGCGACACGCCCCTTTTGCCCTGCGGGGCGCGCTGGTCGCGGGCGCAGAGGGGGAGGAGGGCAGAGGGGGCAGGCTGTGGGGTACAAGCATGGGTGCGGGGGCACCTGGCGGAGCCGACTTCGGGAGGAGAGCGTGGTTACCGCACGTGGCAGCGCCTTAAGCAATTCGAGCGCGTAGCAAAGGCGGCGGGTTGCACAGAAACACGTCCCGCAGCTGTGCTTTGAGAAAGCGATAAAGAAACAAACCGGGAAGCGCCGGGGTGGGAGGGTGGGGAGGTTCCAGATGGGCCCTGAGAAAAGCTTCCTAGTCAACCACTGTGTGCGCTCAGCGCCCCCCGCCCCCCCCCATCCCCTCCTCTTCCTCCGCCCAGCAAATACCGGGAACTAAGCCGTCGGAGTGGGGCTGGCCCGGCGGTGCTCCAAGGGAAGAATGCGCCCTCCCTGTCGCGGGGGAGGTGGGAGAGCGCTTTCCCGGCCTGCGCTGCACCCGGCCGCGGGCGGGAACGGGAGCTGGGAGACCCCTCTGGCGAAGCGGCGACTTTTCCGCTGTTTCCTCTTTTGCCAGCTTCTCCACACTTCTAATTGAGGATCTCCACGTCCAATTTTAAAATCTCTCCGTCGGCCAAGCGGGAAAAAAAAGGAAAAACCCTCTTAATGCGGAAGGGAAATCTGGTGCCTCCGTCGCTTCCTGCTGGCGGGCACGGCGATTTGGAATGGCGCGTTAACCCCGCGGCTCCCTGCTCCTCAGGGCCGCCAGCCGTTTTGCACGCACCCCTGGAGCTGGCACCGGGGCGAGGGGCCAGGGGGCCTCGCGTTCCCCAAGTCCTCTCCTATGCGCTCCTTTTACACGGCCTGGGTGCAGTGTTGCCTGGGCCCAGGCGCCAGAACCCAGAGCCTTTGCTTTTTCCCGAGTTTGTAAAGCAGCCCGCGCGGCATGAGGTGCCGGGAGCTGCAGGTTGCCGGGAGTTCCCAGTCCCTACAAACACCCCGAGGCCCACAGCTGCGTAGCCAACTGACGCCCGAGGCATGGAAAATGCATTCGTCTCCGCAGGGATGGGAGGCGGCGGCCGAATTAAAGGCTTCCCCGGGTGGCCTGCAGAGGAATCTGGGCGGGAGTTCTGGGTGGAGATGGGGGTAGGGCTGCTGGACGGGAGGCGGGTAAGCCTGGGAGCTCACGGAAAGATGCCGAGCCCAAGTTTTTGCGTTTACGTGCACACTGTCTTACCCTCTCCCATGGAAAAAGTTCAAGGAGGTTTTCCTTAGAATCGTATCTCGAGGAGGGGGGATAATTAAGTGCACGAATCCCGTAGTTTCCACTTAAGAATTCCCTCGGAAACTGGAACACGGGCATTGGGAAGACACTGGGAAACACCACACCCCGAAGTGCCTGGGTCTCCTCCACCCCCGAACTGGGTGGGACTTGGCCCTGAGTTGACAGTGCCTTTCTGTCGCCCGCCCCCGACTGCGCTGGTGTCGTCCGCCTTTCTAGGGGTTTTGAGGACTGAGAAGCCAAACGGAACCCCCTCGCTGAGAGAACTGAGCCCCAGCTCCGCACCCTTTCGTGGTCTAAGCCTTCCCCTGCCCGTGCGCCTCCGCAGTGTCCGCGGCGGCGTACCATCCTTCTGGATACCCGGCCCGGGGAGCTTGAGACTCCTCTGAAGGGGGAAGGGATTTAGGGCCAGATTCTCGCAAAACTGCAAAAGTAAAATAGAAGATGTTCGGGTATACCATGACGGATTAAAATTTGCAAGACAAATCAAACCCTACCTAACAGCAATGCTAAAGCGCTTACTCTATGCTCCCCTAGGTCTTTGATACATTATTTTAATGTTCATAACCTTGAGAGGTGGAAGTAATATTTTATATGGAGCTGATGCTTTGGGAAGTAACGTAACGCAGGTATTCCCACACAGGCCCAAAGTCCCCAAGTCCCTACTAACTTCTCGTTCAGCGACAGAATACTTCTATAAATAAGTGGGAGGAATGAAGCACGCGGGCGGGGTGAGGGGTGCCACCAAGCCTGCCCCAGCCAGCCGACAGCAGGATCGGGACCCCGGATAAAGGGTCCTTGATTGTATTCGTAAAATGAAAAGCTGACCGCTTGCTTGGGTGGAAGGCTGGCTCGCGGGACGTCCGGGAGCTGCCGGAAGGTGGGGAGGTCTCTGACCCGGGCGGAGGACGTAGGGTGACGGCTGCCTCCTCGTCCCCGCGGGGAATGGGGCGGTGGGGGCGCCAGTCCTGGTTCCGTCGTGTTGGCCAGGTATCGTGGTGTCGTCGTGTCGGTACCTGCCGGGGCAGCGGCCCCGCTGGAAAACCTGACCCCTGGGCTCCGGTAGCAGAAGTGAAGGGCAGTTGGAGGCGGAGAGCTAGCCGCGCCTGGGACGCCGCCGGGACCGGGGAGTGAGCCGGGGACTTGCAAGGAGGGCGCGGGATGCCCAGGGAACCAGTGGGCTGCAGCCGTCCCGGAGGAGGGCGGTGACGAGTGTGGCGGGGGGCACCGGGACCCGCGGGGATGCCGCGCCCTGGGCGTCCCGGCCTAACGCGCCTCCGCCGACCCTCTCCCCCGCCCGTGCAGGTGCCGCCGCCGGACGGGACTCTAAGATGAAGTTATGGGATGTCGTGGCTGTCTGCCTGGTGCTGCTCCACACCGCGTCCGCCTTCCCGCTGCCCGCCGGTAAGAGGCCTCCCGAGGCGCCCGCCGAAGACCGCTCCCTCGGCCGCCGCCGCGCGCCCTTCGCGCTGAGCCGTGACTGTAAGAACCGTTCCCTCCCCGCGGGGTGGGGGGCCGCCGGCGGACCCCCACGCACCCCTAGCGTCGCCCGCACGCACCCCAAGCTAGCCGGGACGGCGGTGCGGCCTCCCACGCCCGCGCGGAAGCCCACCTCCCAGGCCCTGACGCCCGGTCCGTCTATGACACGTGCTGGTTGCCCAGAGGGTATCAAATTTTTTGCTGTCGGTTTAGCGTTCCGGTGAACAGACATTTTCCCCACCACTACCAGCACCGTAGGAAAACACACAGTTGTTCCCTTTTCTCTGCTTCCTATCGTGTGCACGCACTCCCTTGTTTTCATTCTCCCAAAGCTCTTTATCTGTTTGGGTGTGCCTGGCTGTGCTGAATTCTGAAAACAATTGCATTTCCATCCTAAACTGCCCTTGCAAGGGAAGAGGCCGAGGTTTTCCAAAACCAAGCCAGAGTCAGAGAAAACACAGAAGGGCCTCGATTTGCAGAACAAGCATCTGGGCAGTGTCAAATCTGTTCAGAAAAGTTCCGGTTCTAGAAAGACTTAAGGGAAAATCGTGCTAGCTAGGACTAGGCAAAAAAGCTGTAGTTCGCTCCGCACTCGACAATACTAACATTTGGCTAAGATCAAGTGTAATACTAACTTCTAAGAAAAGACCATATAAATAAATAAAAATCTGTGATGTACCTCTCAAAAATGTTTTAGATAGCACTCTATTAGGGCATGTCAACTATGATTTGATATAATGTGCCCTAGGCTCGTCAGAAGTTTATCTGTTGCATAGAGCAGGGTATTTGCACACAAGTTAGAGGTTATTGGGGAAGTATGTAGGTAACAGAGGTAGCACTAGAAAATTTAACACAGCCCCAGAATAAAGCAATAGTGAGCTGTAGGCAGGATGTCACCCTAGCTACTCCCACCTTCCATTGTCCCTCGAGCTGTTTTGCACTTAAATCAAACTGAAGTCAGATGCACGGCAGAAGCAGTCCTGAAAGTCAGATGTATGCTAAGAGCCCCCCAGACTTAGTGGCCTTGAGCTGAAAACAGTGCAGGAAATGTGATGTGCTTATTCTATACTTAATTATAACAATAAAAACATCTTCTTCCAGAAGTCCCAAGAAAGAGGAAAAAGTGCATTTTCTAAGCAAATTAAGACTTCAAGAGTGACTTAAAGTTAGAAAAAGAACATGGTTGATGCCTTGGAATTAAAGTAACTGTTCCAAGAGTTTCTGTCAATTAGTTATATAAGTTTATTTTTTAAAAAAATTTCATTTATTTATTTGACAGAGAGACAGCCAGACAGGCAACACAAGCAGGGAGAGTGGGAGAGGGAGAAGCAGGCTTCCCGCCGAGCAGGGAGCCTGATGTGGGACTCAATCTCAGGACCCTGGGATCATGACCTGAGCTGAAGGCAGACGCTTAACGACAGAGCCACCCAGGCGCCCCTATATAAACTTATTTTTAAAGGCTTTGGTTTCAGCCACGAATTTCCACCTTAGTGTATGTAAATGTTTCTCCAATAGAAACTTAAATTTAAAATGCCCCTTAGTGTCACTGTCTTCAGAATAGTACCCATGAGAGCTGAGTAAGTGGTTTTTCATTGACTCAAACAGCCTAGGCCAGAGGAACAGGAACACAGTGTTAGTACTTCTCTAAGCAGGATGTGCAGGAGAAATATGAATGTGCCTGATTATGAAGCTGATTAATTCATGGAAATTTAATTAGCTTAGTATCCTATCTACCTAGGCTTATTTAATGCGGGCTCTCGGTTCTGGCTCCACTTTTTTTTTTTTTTTTAAGATTTTATTTATTTATGAGACAGAGAGAGAGCATGAGCAGGGGAGCGGGGTAGGGGCAGAGGGAGAGGGATAAGCAGACTCCCTACTCGGGGAGGAGCCTGACCCAGGGCTCGATCCTGGGATCATGACCTGAGCCGGAGGCACACGCTTAACCAACTGAGCCACCCAGGTGCCCCTGGTTCTGGCTCCACTTTCAACTAATTCTGACTTTGGACAACTTACTTATTTACTTTAGAACTCAATGAACAGTTTACAACCATGCAGTAAGGGGAGGCCTTTCTACTTCAAAACACCAGTGGCTATGAGATTTTGTCCCCTGGCCTTCATGTTCTTGCCCTCACTGTCCTCTGGGAAAAGACTCAGAAGGAGAGACCCCCCTGCTCACTGGAATCACCCAGGGATCTTTAATGGAATACTGATGTTGGGCCTCACCCTGAGAGATTCCAATTTAATTGGTTTTGGGTGTGGCTTGGGCATTTGGAGAGTTAGATGTCCCCAGATAACTCTAATGTGCAGTCAAGGTTGAATCATTATGACTCGATAATACCCCAAGAAAATCTGTGCCCCATGTACGATACAACCAGTGACAAAGCAAGCAAGGTAGCATTAATCCTACTAATTAGGGCAGGGGGAAGGTGTGCAAAGGACAGGTAGGAGAAGGGAGATTACCTCCTTTTTCCAGAACCGATGCTAAGTTGTCAATGGACAAGATTCCTACTACTCCATTTACATCTGAACCAGCAGAACACACCCAAGTCTGTTTTATCTACGGGAAGACCCAATAGATCCTAGAGGACACTTGAAACAGAAATGTTTCCAAAGAGAAACTGAGCGGCGTTCTAAGCCAAGTTGACTTCTTTCTAGGTATGTTCAATTCGGTAGCAAGCTGTTCGTGCAGGGAAGGCAGAATAATGACAGTGTGCAGACTTTGAACACTCAACCAGGGTCAGCATGCTCCTATCACGGTGCTGACATTTGTATCTTGCACACCGTACACCGTGCAACTGGTTAAAGCTTATGGAGAGAAACATTAAGTCACGAGTTGCATTTGAAAATAGTCCCTCTCCTTTTCAAATGCTTGTGACTCAGTGATTGAGCAAAGGCGCTTTCCTGCCTCCTTAACCACTCCGTGCCATTCAAAGGGGGCTAGCCTGCACACCCTCACCCTTGAGGTTTCATGTGTCCTGCTGCTTCCAATGTAAATGAAATGGCCAGAATTCTGTTCCTAGCATTTTCACAGGATGAACTACCCAAATAGAACGCATCACTGGCTCGCTTGCATGCCTACAGGTTGGCTATAAAGTAAATGGGCTGTGGATGCCTCCCGTGGCAACTGTGAACTTGTCTAAACCCCAGGACTTGTGGTTTTCCCTTTGGGGCATCCAAGGGCATCCTTTTCCCTTTAGCTATCTTTGTTCTTTTATTTTGCTTTTTATCAGTATCTTCTCCAAAGGGTGATTAGAGCAGGCAGGAGGAATCTAGAAGGTGGAATTAGCAGATGTCATAGCACTGTAGAACTGACCGTTAACCCCTTCCACTTCTCATGGTAAAGCAGCTTGTCCAGAGGGCAAGAACTACACTGTGGCGGGAGGCAGGTCAGCTGAAACTGGGACCAGAGTTTCCCAAACCACTGAGGCACAGAGCAGAGCATTTGGTTTTGCTACGTAGGGGAAAACACTTTGTATGGGAGGAAGGTCTTCAACTAGCCACTAAAACCCTGTTGCACAAGGTTGTCTGAATTTATTAAAGGTTAGTTCATCGTAGTCATATGTCAGATCTCGGCCGTGGATGATAGCTCTAAATGTGTTTCACAAGCAAAAGCATAAAGTGCATGTGGTTTTAAAACTTGCAATCTAAAAGCATGTATTCATTCAGCAAACAGTTCAGGTGTGCCTACGTGGGCCAGGCACTGTCCTCGGTGCTGGGAAATCCTTGGTACACAAAATAGGCAAAAGTCTCTGCATGGAACGCACCCTTTAGCAGACGTCCAGTGTGGTACAATTCGGTAGCGCTGGAAACCAGAACTAATCATGAACAGCCTTGGGCTAGGAAGGTGGACTTTTTGTGTGACCAGAGGCCAACTGGAAGAAAGACTGAGCCTTGTTAAATTATAATTACAGGCAATACACAACTTATTGTAATACGATGGGACTGTATTTCCCCAGTTTGGTATAAAGTCACGAAATTTCCTATGGAAACAATCTTTTATAAATCAAGGTATCCAGTTCCCAGGCTGGCTCACGACAAATCTTGGTGTAAACCATAATATAACTGAAATATAATTCACAGTATTATTAGGCTAGAGCCTCTTCCTGGGGTGCCAGGCCCTACAAGTTGCAGAAAGAGGGCACAGAGCAAGAAATCAGGGAGTCCCGACAAGCAAGAGTTCCAGTTCACACCGTCGGATCAGACTAGGGTTTGGATCCCAGCCTTGGCACACAACCAGCTGTTACTTCATCTCTCAAACCTCAGTTTCCTCGTGCGGAAAAGCAGGACGCTATTACAACTGTCTCCTGGGGTGGCTCTGGGGTTAAATAAGATAATTCTTTGTAAAGCCCGTGCCCCATAAGTAAATACTGCAGGTGTGAGGGGCCATCTTCCTCCTTGCAATGCCCGATGAGAGCCTTTTTCCCCACCCTCACCCCTTCACTTCAGCCTCTGCCAAGACATTGCTCTAAATGGTGGGATTTCAAGCAGCACAAAATAGTATGGACAGTGAAAGAAATGCAGGCCTTAGGGGGAGGCTATTTTGGGCCCCCAAGTCTGTCATTTGGTCAGCACTTGGTCAGGCCAGCCTTGCCTGGGATTCTGCTCCCCGGTTTAGGCCCCCTGGCTCTTCCCAGTTTCCACAGGTCCTTCCCTTCCGCATTTTCTTGAGCCCACGGAGTTCCTGTGGAATTTTTCCCACCAGCTTCCCATGCACACGTTAGGGAGACCCTCTTTCCCCACTGGGGAGAAGGGAGCTAAAGCAGGCAGACCCTTCTGTGTAAGTGATAAGGGGGGTGCGGTTTGGAGGCTACCTGTATTGAGTATTTTTGTTTTAAGTGATCCCTGCTGCATATTTAAAATGCTTAATTTAATTTGAGATGTTTCAGAAACCCAGCAAAACACTTCAGTGAACTTTAGTAAATGTTCAGCCCATTGTTAATCAACAAAGGAAGCTTCTAGAAGCTGGTTCAATGTTAAGCTTTCCAATCTAATGTTATGGGATA